AGGTGAGGCTGTTTCTGAGGCAGCTGTCGGTGTTCGCGCCCCCGGCGGTGAGCGCGGTTGGGTTTGCAGCAGTAGCCAAAACGATGAGCGTAAGAGCAGTACGAGTGAAGAGGGGTGCGCCGGTGCCGGCCAGTGGTGACCCCCGGGCCCCGAGAGCCAGCAGCGGTGTCTTTGCAGTTAGCAACCTCGCGTGGGTTTCTCCTCCCTGAGCTTGTCCAGTCTCGCCGTGACCTTATGTTAGCTTTCGGTGTGTGGAACGTCTTGGGGCACCTGCTGAGGATTCCCTTGCTTTTACCGATTCTACCCGTTTAAAGTTTTCTGTAGTGGGGGGAAAAAAAAAAAAAAGTAAGTTGTTTTTGGTTGGTTACTTTATGATCTGCTCACTTCCTGCAGGTATCCGGATACAAAAGAATTTTTAAAGGGGCCGCAGGCATTCTGAGAGGAATTGATAGCATTTCACTCATTTGGAGCTGCTTGGAAGATGGTACAAAGCCACCTTTGAGAGAAGACGTAGAAGGTACAGAGAATGGCATCACTGAGCAGAAGGACAAAATAGGCAACTCTAAACAAGAAGAGAAGTTTGAATAGGAGACACTTGTACTGGATAGTTACCAAAATGACTCAAAGTTAGGATGGTTAAAACAAGATGTGAGATGAATTGACAGAAGCGTCTTGGAAAGCTTATTTGCTGAGCCAGGGCTTAGCCTTAAAGGATGTCTCTGTCCATGTAACAATACTGATATTACTACAGTGCTACAGTCTTTTAGTGGTGGTATGTGCTTATGTAAGCAGCATTTTGCAAATGTGTTTTACTGGCTTAGAGAGAGGTAGGTTGGACCTGGATAACTTACCAGTATAGCACAAGGAGTGCAAATGTCTCTTTCGTTCTAGGTAGTGTCAAAGAACCTGAAATGGGGACTTTAGAAGTTTATATTAAAGATCAGGAGATAAGTGAAAGATTTATAAGCTGGGGTGATGTTAGTAGATCTGTGTGTCTGCAGTGGGGAAAGGTGAAGCACTTAAGGAAACGGAAAAAGTGGAACAGTTACTAAATAGTTGAACTTCTTCATTAAAAAGCCCGTTTTGAAACAATAACATTTGTGCCTTGTGTTCCCGTCTGTGTTATCATATGAAAGAGTATCTTTCAGCTTTGAGACTGATTTCAATGTGTCCTTTGTGTTTTCAGTGAGGAAATGAATCGAGGGTTGATACTAAGGTTTGAAAATCTGGTCCAGTTACGTGGTGCTTGCCGGCAGCTGCGTACTCTCTCCTACAGAAAAGTTAACAGAGCACAATGGAAGCCTGTGCAGTTATCTGCGCATCCCATGTGGTCCGTTCTGTATCCACAGCTCTGGCAAAAAGACAAAGTAATCAGTATTGCCTTATCACAACACAGACATCTAGCTACAAAGGAGGTAATTAACAAAATCCAATAATCTCTGGGTTTCTGTGAAATTTCAAAGTACAACAGCTCAGTTTGAGCATTTTAATTACAAAAAAAAAAAAGCTTTATTAATGAATATAGAGAAGTTGTTACAAATTTATAAGACATACTTAATGTATGACTGTATTGTGACTCCCTCTCAACTACTGACTTAAAGAGCTTATACCAGCAGGATCATGAATCTTGCAGAGGCAGGAGGAATTATTACAAACAAAAATGAAAATTATTGAGTTGATTTTTTTTTCCCTCATGAACAATTAAAAATGGAAAAAGATTAAGTGTAGTATGCTATACATTTTATATATCCACTATGATGTGTTAAGTCATTCATTTATTGTAATTCATTAGTATTGTAGTAAAAAAAGATGTGTTTACATCACATGGCTTGAGACCATTGTCTTTTTAATGTTGTTTTTATTATTTCTTAGTTTATGCCAGCTATGTGTTCCTATATACATGTCTAATTCCATGTAGGAGACAAAAAAGAAGAGAAAGAAGATACCGCTGACAAGAGGTGAAGTGGAGATAAGGCAGAAGATGACTATTGAGGAACTTGCACGAGCTATGGGTAAAGACATAGGTGAGAGCCTGCTCTGTTGTTTGAGATTGAATGAAACACAACAGTTAAAATCTGTTATGCCACTTTCATGAGTGGTAAAGGCAAAGATGTCTATGGTGGCGTGAGACAGTGGTTGCTAATCCCTCCCTTAGCAAGGTAGATTGTACCCATACCAAAGAAAATATTAGTAGACACAGTGGCAGACTAAAGAGAAAAAAGTTGGACCATCTAAATTAGCAGGCAAGACACTTTAATGTGAAGAAGTCAGGACTCCCTTCCATCTCCAGTGGAGGGGCTTCAGATCCACGTAGGCTGCTCTTTTAGCACTTGGGGAACACAGTCATAATTATTCTGGAAGGACAAAAGTTGCACCTTAGTTTGTTGGAGCTGGACCCCTGTGGCTAAAGAGAGAAGGCGCAAAAGAGCTTCAGACTGTAATCCAACCCTTAGATATTTACCTGGGAGCAGGAATCCTGGATTCAGGAGCAATATATATTTCATTAAAACAGTCATTTAATTAACTGGGAGCAGGCAGGACTTGTCTGGAAATGCTCCCCTTCTTAGGTGATTGCCCTGACAACTGGTTTACAGAAGCAGGCTTGTGCTTTTAATCGCATGGACCATTCCTGGTTGTATAGTGGCTCATCTTGACCAGTTTTCAGTGATGTTTTAAGGGGGTTATTAGCATGTCTTGACTATTGACATATGAAATAATTTCATACCTGTATAATACCAACATCCAATCTCTTTTTATCCAGCTGGGTGCTTTTTCTGGCAAACTTCCCTCTCAGCAATGAGGAGAGAAGCAGAAATGTCTGTCATGTCTTGCTGTGCGTTTCTGAGATAGATTTGTAATGGTACTTAGGTCAATGTGTAGCAATTTGTGACTACTTCAGTATGTTCTGTATTTCTACTGCCAAATAAAGTGGCATATGAACTGATTTATCAAATGTCCTTCCTCCTTGATTCGCTTCTTGGCTATTTGGTTTAGATGAGTTTCAGTTGTTTTGTTAATGGGAAAATAGGCTATGAAAGACCAAGTGAAAAATAAGATTGTAGCATCTAATGAAGCAGTTATTTTCAGTAAACTTTTCTGAATCAAGTTCTCTGCAAGTATGTACTGTAACAGAAACTTTTAGATAAATCTAACTAAAGCAAAAATGCTTGGTGAATGCAACTTATTAGCATAATATAAACTGCTAATGAAAAAGTCTTAAACTGTATGAAATATAGGGGTTGGGGTTGTTTTTTTTTTTTTTTTGTTTCACATGTTTTTGTGGATGTAATTGTTAAATGCCTTTGTCTTTTATTCAGATCATATTTATGAAGCGCTGCTATACACAGACATTGACCTTGATTCACTAGAACCAGATTCCATCTTACATGAAGACCATATCAAGCTAGTTGTTAAAAAATCAGGAATGAAGTATAAATCAGCAAAACTGAAAGAGGAAAAAGAAAGAGAAAACACAGATGCTGTGAAAAGGTAAACTGTGAACTGTTCTTTTTGGCTCTCTTTATCCTATTTGTCTCTGCCAGTGTTTTTCATATACTGTGTTTTCTTTGTTCTGGTGGTGTGTTGATAATACCTGATATAGTTACATTCTGATAATATTTAAAAGGTAAAGTTTACTATTTTGATTTCTTTGGCCATAAAACTGCTACTCTGATGTGGTTTGGTTTAGGTGAGCTTTTTCTATGCTGTTTTCTGAAGAAAAGCTAATTCTTCTTTGATAGGCTGAATTGCTATATTAACTGATGCAGCAGTAAAACTGGGTACGAAGAAGGCTAACGGTGTGGTGTAGCTAGGGTTTGTGATTGCAGTGGGGAGAAGCTAGGCTCACCTGTTCGCCACCGAGTTCTGATAAATGGCTCTTCATTAGCCATAGTGGCCACACATATCACTCAGTGAACTTTTTTGGTATTTACAAAACATGTTTTTGCTTTAATTGTAGGCCTCCCGCAGACCCAGCAGTACTAACTCCACGGCCCCCCGTTGTTACTATCTTGGGTCACGTTGATCATGGGAAAACGACCTTACTTGACAGTCTACGAAAAACTCAAGTGGCATCAATGGAAGCAGGAGGCATTACACAACACATTGGTGCTTTTCTTGGTATGGCTCAAGTGTACGTGCATGTGTATTAAGCAGTTGCCTCTCCGTCTTACATAATGGGCTGACTCGCTGCCAGTTTATTGGGGAAAAATGTTGCGACATAAACAGTTTATATGTAAGCAGTGAAAAAGGAAATCATAACTTGTGATAACTGTCATAACTGTGTGGATGGAACTTTGAAGGGGACTGTCTGCGCAGTTGAAATTATATTTAGTAGACTATTTTGGATTATGAAAGATCCCAGGATGCTCTCTTTCTTTCCTGAGGAGTTAAAAACTCCTTTGACCTCCATGCTAACAGTTATTTGTCGGCCTAACATATGTCATTATTATTAAAAAAAGTTCTTAAAGGAGTGATGCTTGATTTACAATAGGTCAAATAAAGCTATGTGAAATGCTGATTTTAAAATGTACTGCATACGTTTGTTCACAGTGCATTTGCCTTCTGGGGAAAAGATAACTTTTCTTGATACTCCTGGACATGCAGCTTTCTCAGCCATGAGAGCAAGAGGTACCCATGTTACTGACATTGTCATACTGGTTGTAGCAGCAGAAGATGGAGTGATGCAACAAACTATAGAATCCATTCAACATGCTAAAAACGCAGGAGGTATGGTGTTTAACTTGTTAATATGACATTTTGAAGTGAGTGGCAAGCCCAGTACACAAAGTTAATAGACAAGGTGTGTGTTACTGTGTGGTTCAAATAATGAGCACTTTGCAAACGTTTATTTACCTCTCAAAAGAAACTCCTTGAACTGGAATCCACAGAACTTGAGAAATAACTGTTGTAGTCCCGTTCCTTCTCCCCTGGAAAGGTGTTTGAAAATACACTGAACGTTGCAGTAATTCATAAAGATATTAAAATACTAATATTTTTGCAGGACTTGCAGGTTTGTGAGAAAAACACTCATAGGTGGTGGTGGTGGGGCTTTTTTTTTTTTTTTTTTTTTTTCCTTCCCTTCCCTACTAGGATAACTCCTCCAGCTTACTCATGGTAGCTCAGATCTCAAGGGCTGTTCAATAGGCACCATGTGAGATGATTTATTCTAAGTGGTCATAACCTGCTCTAACCTTTTACTGCAATTGCGCTAGTAGTAGCAAGTTTTGGTTAGGTTGGTGATGAGGTTTTTTGTTCTCTTTTAAGTTCCCCTTATCCTCGCCATTAATAAATGTGACAAACCTGAAGCAGATCCTGAAAGAGTAAAGAAAGAATTGCTGGCTCACGATGTGGTCTGTGAAGAGTTTGGGGGTGATGTTCAAGCTGTAAATATTTCTGCACTCAAGGTAAAGCTATGGTGGAAAAAATGATGGTGTTCATGGGCATCTAATACGTGCATACAGCTGCATTTTTATTTGGAAAATAAAATGCTTATCTTCCTGGTATTTGACACTTTACCGTGAGCTAAGTGCTGCTGGTTCTCGCCAGAATTAATTGAAACATGCTCCTGTCATATTTTAGGCTCAGACCTCCAGTGAGCAGTAGTATCTCATTTTATTTCTGGAAATTTGGTGGATATTTCATCCTAAATGCTGTTTCCTCGTATATTTGCTCATTGTATGAAATTAGCGCAAAGTTGAAGTTGGTGATAATGCTATACATGAAGAGAAAAATTCAAACAAGGGTAAATGTTTTCCTAACACATGCCTAATCACAGGAACATAGTTTTTTAGTGGTCTTACAAGATTTACTGTGTTATGCTTGCAAACAACTGATAGCTAAAAACTGAACTAAAATCTGAACTTCAGTTTTGTGATGGCCACAGCAGCTTTGTCCCAACTGATGCAGCAATATCTTAGCCTTATTGCTGTCTTTCTAAATGCATTCCAAGTAATTTTTTTAAATTTGAGGCAAGTTCAAGACCTTTTAAAGTCATGCCCTTACACTTTAAAATAGGCATACATAAAAACGGCTTCTCCTTTCACCTCTGTAGCACGTGCTGTTGCCCTAATTCCTGTAAATCTGGATCTGCTGACTGACAGCTATCTCATTGTATCTGTTTTCAAAAATAAAATGTAATTGGAACAAAGGAAGAAAAAAAAAAAAAAGACAGACCAACAGTTTTGTTTCTTTGATGTCCTGGAGTCTTGACTAGGTGGTAGATGTTACCAAGTTTCAATAGGGCTGTTTAGGTGTTTTGTTTGGTTGGGTTTTTTTAACTTGCGTTCCTAATATACTTGTAGCAGAATATTGCAAGTTTTTTTTCTGCATCCTTAACTTGGATGCTATGAACAGAGAAGCAAGGAAACTGTCCTTCCTAATGTTTCATGCATTCTGGACCAGCTGTGCAGCAGTCTTAAGTGCCATCTTGCCTTGAAGGCAAAGGGATCTGTACTGTTGGACTGTGTTGCATTGTTAGAAGCTCTGAATTAAATGGGAGAATTTGGCACCAAGATTTCAACTTCTGATCTTACTTAGATTGGGCACTTCCTTTATTTTTTTTGTGTGTGTGTGTGTGTATGGTTTTATACAGGGTGAAAACCTGATGGTTTTAGCAGAAGCAACTGTTGCTTTAGCAGAGATGTTAGAACTGAAGGCGGATTCCACAGGTCTGGTAGAGGGGACCGTAATTGAGTCTCGCAAAGACAAAGGGAAAGGGTAAGTGATCTGCTGCCTTTACAACTTTAATGAAGCAATTTGTAACAATGCAGAGATACTGTTCAGGTGGTTTGTACCTCAATATTTGTGTTTAACATTGACCTTGTTGTTAGATAAAACTGTAACAGTTTCTTTGCAGTGTTTGTAACTAAAGCATTGAAATGTTATTCTACAGCATGATAGCTAGAAAAAGAAGTTATAAACTTGATAGGGCAAAATTAATCATATCACTGAAATAATAGTCTGTAAGCATGGGAAATAGTTTAAAATGCTAGAACAGATGTATTTTTTAAAATGTCATTAAAAAGTAGGAATGATGAAGTTGATAGTCATAATATAACACACATACAGTTTTTGGCAAATTGTGTGTAATGACATTTTATTCTTTAAAATATTTCAGTCCTTTTGCAGGTTCTCTGTAAACAAGATGTATTCTGTCCTCTTTAAAAATGAATTGAATTCTAGAAAGTTGTTAGGGTTTGGGGTTATTCTGGGAGAGGGGGATCACTTAATGTGTTAAATCAGTCTGCTGATTTCACAAATGCCAAGCTTTGTATTGATCTGCAGAAACAAAAAGAGTACAGTACAGGTTTTGGGCTTTTTGCAAGTTACTTTAAAATTTTGTTAGAGTGCTAATAAAATGTGTCACAGGAATATTCTGCCTGTGATTGTTCACAAGTACGGTCTGTTTTGTGTTTGCTTATCTACTCTAACTGTGAAAATGGGGAGAAGAGTCACTCTGATTTTGAGTGTTATTTTTTTCCTCTGCTCTTCACTAGTCCAGTTACCACAGCCATCATCCAAAGAGGAACTCTGAGAAAAGGCTGTGTTCTGGTTGCAGGGAAGACCTGGGCAAAAGTGCGTTTCATGTTTGATGAGAACGGCAAAGCTGTAGATGCAGCCTCTCCAGGCATCCCGGTGGAAATCATGGGCTGGAAGGAAGTCCCTTCAGCTGGAGATGAAATCCTTGAAGTGGAGTCTGAGGTACGGAAGGAACTGTTTAGTGGAAAACCTGTCCTGCAGTATGGTGGATGGGTAGGAGCTGAGTCAAAAATAAGTGATAGCTTTCATTCTCAATAACCTGGATAATCTGATGAAAGATGAAGGCTGAGCATGGGTATTAAGAGACCTGAGCTAGGTGTTTTGTAAGAGGGATGAAGATTGTGATATTGCCTCCTTATTTTCCACTGCCCCCATCTCTCCTGCCAGACTGTCCTCTCCTCATCTCCATACATCCAGATTAACCTGCTTTACAGTCACATGAAGAAAGCAGGCTGCCTCTGGAATTAAAGATGTGTCACCTTTGGTTTATGTTTTTGCTTCTCATGGTCATCCTGTCTTCCTCCATGCTTTGATTGCAATGACTGCCGTCCTGAATGGCTTCTGCTGGGGTAGTCTGGGATATGTTCTAATGTGTTCCCTTTCTAAAAGCACAGAAGACTTTTCTCTTTTATATGATCACACTATCACCCTACCTGGAGAACAGTCTAGTACTTAATGATGTTAGTGTTTTAATTTTAGAATGAGAGAACTAGTTTTTGACAAAATAATACGCATAAAATATAGCTTGAAGTAGGTGGTGTGAGAGCTGGACAAATACCATGTGAAAGAATGAACAATAATTTATTCCCTTCTGCCGTGCAGAGATGCTGTAAAAATCAGCCTTGAGTCATGTTATTGTAGCCCAGGGAGGAAGTTTTTGTGCTTGTTCTCTGCCATCCCTGCAGCAAAATGTATTGTTAAATGTGAAAGAAAATGAATGAGCCTGTAGAAAAGATGCAAAAGGATGAAACTGCATTAATGTGGAGTTTTCCAGCGCAGCACTTTGAAAGGTAATGTTTCTGTCTCTTCCTGCCAGCAAAGGGCGCATGAAGTTGTGGCTTGGAGAACCTATGTGGAACAACAGGAGAGGATAAAAAGGGATGTGGAAGTTATTGAAGCAAAGCAAAAGGAACACAGGATGGAATATGAGAAGAAGCAAGAGAAGCTAGCCCATCTCACCTGGAGACAGAAGAAGGCGGTGCTGTACAAGGCCAATAAGCATCTAATGTTTTCCAAGCCTAAAGAGAGAACAGAGATGGACAAAAATGTGCTATCGGTAATTGTTAAAGGTGCTGTCCTATTCTGTTTACTGCTCCATTGTTTTTGTGCTTCTCAAATGCTTAGTCTGAAGCATAGCTCTAAGCTATTAACAAAATTCCTGTTACCACAAGTTTGGTCAGTTTAAAACTGAACGGATTATTGAGCTTCTCTCAGTAGGAGGGGGGGCTTCAGAAAACATCCAGTGGTCAGAAGGACGCGCTTCCATCAGGGCGAGAGCAATGGGAAAATTTAGGAGCCCACCACCTTTGCCCAGGAACTTCCGAGTAAAACCATATAAGTGCCTCTCTCTATATATAAATTAAAAACATATATAAATAAAAAAAATAAAATACAAGTTATATGAGCAGCAGTACTTCATCAGCAAAATGGAGGACAAGAATGTGTTAGTTAAAGTGGGACAGGAGGAACTTGGTTAACACATTTAGCGATGTATAAGCAGTGACGGTAGTAGCTGAAAAACCATGCAAACTTGACCTGAAGATGACAGCAGATGTGGAGCTTCTGCTCCTATTTATTCAGTTCATTTTTGGAATTAATAGACTTGTTAGATGTGTTTTAACATATCACTGAAAATACAGTAAGAGCAATAGGTGTCAAAAGACTCTATGTTGCACTGTGTAGAGTTGCCATTCCCTTAGTTCTGCTTCAGTGTTTTTTTGATGTATACAAGGTCAGCAGTACTTCCCATTTATACATGCAGGTGATGTGGATGGATCTGTTGAAGCTATTCTGAACATTCTGGACAGCTATGATGCTGATGATGAATGTAAATTGGATATCATTCATTTTGGAATGGGAGATATCAGTGAAACTGATATAAGTCTTGCTGAAGCGTTTAATGGTGAGTGTGTGTTTAAGAATCAGTTTACAATTAGTACAAACTCTTTATTAAAATGGGTAGGTCTCACTCTGGTTTTGTTTTCTCAAAAATAATTAGCAGCATCAATAAGGTAAACTTACACATATCTTAACAATATTTCCTTTAACATCAAAGAGTAATGTAGGTGGGGAAGGCTAGAAATCTTATGAAAATTGAAGGACTCTGACAAGCTGTTGCCAGTAGTTGAATTGTTAAGGTTAACACTGGCTCTTCGCTCAGGTTGCTTTATGATGCTCAAACACGGCAAAGCTAGAAAAGTAGAGTACAAAAGTATTTCCTTTTCCTCAGGGAGGTAATTGGAAGGACTGTGTCAGTAGTTGTTCCCTTTCATACACTATAATTCTCACCTGCTGTAGAGGGACCAGCCATAGTCCAGTTAGATAAGATTTCACTCCCAGCTTCATTTGGACAACTAAGCTGTTTTTGCAGCCCCAAAATGGGAGGTCCTTGTCCCTTTACAAGCCCTGGTGAGCTGAGTGTAAGCTCAGTTAGTTTCTGCCTTGATACCTCCAGTTCTGTCATCAGGGGGCTTTCTATGAGAGCTTTTCTGAGCCATTTGTTTTGATACAAGGTTCGTAGCAGTTCATGTGCAATGGTGGGAGAAGTAAATGGTCCCTCCTTAAAAGGGAGAGAGGAGTAAAATACTGTTTGTTGTATTGCTGATTGCTAGTTCTAGCCTGTGCTGCAAATTCAGCATTACAAAATAGACACAGCAGATGCTTCCACTTAAAGAGTGATCTCTTGTAGTCATCACTTGCTTATTATTGATCAGGTGTTGTATTTGGATTCAGTGTGAAAGCCAATGAAAGTATTAAACAGCTGGCTGCTAAAAAGGGAATAAAAATTAAACTTCACAATATCATCTACAAACTTATTGAAGACTTGAAAGATGAACTAAATAGCAGACTACCCCCATCTGTGGCAGAGAATACAATAGGTGAGTTTTCATTGACCATTAATTTTTTGCTTTGCAATGTGGCACTAAGTTTATTCTCCAATGAAGTGTTTAGATTGTATCAAATATTTGATACTTTGTAGCTGCTTTTCTGTTTTGCTATAAAGCTTGTTAAGTGGAAGGGTATAGCTTTCTTATACTTATTGCCAGTTTGTTATTCTCATGTACTGCATACAGCTTTACTTTTTTCTTTTAGGGGAAGCTTCTGTTCTTGATGTCTTCTCTGTAACAGTAGGAAAAAACAAAATTCCAGTAGCTGGATGCAGAGTACAGAAGGGGCTACTAGACAAAAAAATGAAATTCAAGTTAATCCGTCATGGGGATGTTATTTGGAAAGGTAAGTGTAACTGCCACAAACCGTATTTACATTAAGTATTAGACGCTGCTAGTTCCCTGTGAAGTTAGTGTGAAACGTACACATCTGATTGCAGGGCAATCCCATATGCTATTTAGGATGGAGTTGCTCCAAGTAGAGAAAAGCTGCAAAATGCCACTGTACTACTATCCAGACCTTTTTCTAGCCGCCAACTCTGGTAGGAAAGCAGTAGCATCACAGGATTTACCTGCTGAAAAAGACTGATGTCTGACTTTCATGAGCTGCAAATGCTCACAAGCCCTACGTTTTCTTGCTTTCATTTTGTAGCTACAAGGTGAAACATTAATTCTGTAACATCAAACCACCACACTCATGCTCTGATGTTAGTGGGTGGTCTTTCTTTGACATACTTTCTCTTTGTAGGATCTTTATCATCACTGAAGCATCATAAAGATGATGTCCAGGTAATAAAAACGGGTATGGATTGTGGACTGAGTTTGGACAAGTGTATAGAATTCAATATTGGAGATGAACTTATCTGTTATGAAGAAAAAGAAGTTCAACAGACAACTTCCTGGGATCCAGGATTTTAAAATATATTTGAATACATTAACATTAAAGGACATGTATTATTCCTGGCTGGCCTTTAACTCTTAACATTAAATGAACTTTCAGAGATTCACATGGTTTCTTTACATGTTTATAAAACAACGTTCTGCTTTTAGATCTTGTCAAGCAACCAGCTTACCTCATTGGATAAACTACAACAATTAATTATAAGCACTTCAAGTGTGTAAAACCATCACAGTATAAATATTTCTGATGACTGTCTATTGGTTCAAAACTAGCTGAGCTATCCTATTTCTCCATCAGTGCTGCTATACAATTTTCCAGTATGCAGTCTGCATGTTGTTAGCAGAACTCTATTAATCTTTTCTCCAGCATTGACCCACTTGGAGACCTGACTTTGGACCTCTCGATCTTTTATTTTTCCAGATTAGAATTACTGTACTGTCTACTCCTCTCATGTTTGAAGAGACCACTTCTAAAGTTAGCTAGGACGTTGGTTTTTTCTTTTCCTCTGCCATTGCTACCCATTATCTCTATCAAAGGAGACTTAACTAACCACAGCCACTCTTTAAAAGAAGCTGCTGCTTCAGTTCTAGAGTGGAAGTATTTCATCCTAGTTGGCAGTCAGCATCCCAAGTTTCACAGATTCTTCTTGCTTATCAACAAGAGAGGAAATAGCAGAAATGAATCCTTAAACCGTACAGAACTTCAGATTTTTATTGTCTAGTACATTTACTTGTCTTCTGGTTTATTGAAGCAGTATGTCAGACAGCATTTGCCACAATAGTGTCTGTCGAAGTGACTAGCCATGAAGACTCCTGCTCCACACTCCTCAGAGGGGCACTCTCGGCGCAGACGACTGATCTTGCCGTTCTCATCCACCTGGGAAGGGCAAAGAAGCAACATGTCATATATACTCATGACCTTTTAGTACCGATGATAATTTCGAGTATTTTTCTTTGGCAAAGTACTTTTTGTGATAAGTTACTGCATGAAACTTCTTGAAGTGAAGTTCAGAAGTGCCCAACTGCAACAGTCACGTTGTCTTCTATTTAACAGGGGGGATACTTGCAAATAGAAGGACTTAAAATATGCCAGGCTACATGCAGACTAGTTACAGGCTACATGTCCTTCCTGGTAAGAGCTAAGTTTTCATCAAGTTTCACCTAAAGTTAGTTCTACATACCTTGTAGTACTTAAGCACTGCAAGCTTAACCTTCTTTCTCTTATGCTTGTTCTTCTTGGGAGTAGTGTAAGACTTCTTCTTTCTTTTCTTGGCACCACCACGAAGTCTCAGCACAAGGTGAAGAGTTGATTCCTATTTGTAAAGCACATGAAATAGACTCAAAATGCTTTCTCAAGACAAGAGCAGCATTTAAGCTGGCTTTTCCTTTTATTTACAGAAAGTAGATCTCGAGCTCCAGGCAACTAGGAAAACTCTAAAAGGACTTTTCGTTCTTAAGTCTACAAATGAACAGGCTCTGGAGAACAGTGGGCTGGTGCATCCCAGACCTCAAAAGGTTCAATTATTATAAAATCTGTTGTGACTATATTCCTCAATTCTAACTGCAATTGCAGAATCGTTTCATGATGTAACTAAGTCAAACTGACAGCTATTTGTTGCTCCTCCTTTCTTGTGGCACTTGCTGGCCTCACTGCCAGTGAAGTGAGCAGGAGCTTTTCACATTAGCCCCCTAAAGGCAGCTCACCACAGAGGGCCAGGGCTGACGGAAGGGAAGTACTGGAAGTGGAAGCTGTTAGAAACATTTTCTTCTGACCTGAAACTATAGGCTGGGCTGCACCAACTGTCTGTTCTAGTCCTAGCATCAGCCAGAAGTGCTGCTCAACCCTAAATCAACTGATTTGGTTGAATCCGTTTGAAGCATTTCTTGGGCTCAGCAGCAAAGGTCAGTCTGCTCTGATATAATACCAGCTAGTTGGTACTACAACACCCCGTTCAGCTCTTCCTACTCACTTTTTGAATATTGTAGTCAGACAGCGTGCGTCCATCTTCTAGCTGCTTACCAGCAAAAATAAGTCGCTGCTGATCAGGAGGAATGCCTAATAGTGACGTAAATGAAGATGCAATGAGGAATGTGAACTATGAAATTCTATAATAAAACAATAGCTTGCTGCAGACAATCACATCTGCATAAAATACGTATCAGTCCAACCGAGAAAAGAATAATGAATGCATATTGACCTTACCTTCCTTATCCTGGATCTTAGCTTTCACATTTTCTATAGTATCAGAAGGCTCAACCTATTGTGAAACAAAACAATGGAGTCAAAACGCACTTTGCCTTTTAATTTGCCCAGAAAAGCAGAAGAACCGTGAGGAGCCGCAGAGGCATCACCTATGCTGTCCCGGCCATTTCGGCCCCACCGCGGGGCAGCCAGCTCGGGCCAGGCCCGCGGCAGGGCCCGCTTTTCTCCGTGCATCCGACATTTCGGTGCACCAGAAGGCCCCGCTCGGCCCGGCCCG